GAGTGGATGCTGGAGTTTGAGGTTCAAAAAGGAGGGCTAAGCATCCAAAGCATCATCTCCACCTATCCCTATTCAAAGCTTTATCCCCACCCACTCGTTGTACGCTCTTTGTTGACAGTATCAACAATTCAGATGTCCTTTTAATAGCAGGGGATCAGCGAGCATGTCATGCAGTGTAACACCAGCAGCAGATGGGTGGGAGACAGCATCCAGCCAGCCTACTGAGAGACTGAAAGAGAAGCCGCATGCAGACGGACAGGAGCGTTTTCCTCCTAAGTGGGTGGCTTGGTTGTCACAGGGTTGTTTGATCACTTTGATACATCTGCTTTCTGCTTTGCAAAGGTTTCCATGACAATTAATGTGTGTTTGAAAATCATTTTTGGTGCTGTTGTGAATTTGGAGATGATGTCTGTCAGTGTGTGTGTTGGTGGGTGGATGGGTAGGTAGCTTGGACTCAGCATCCGCCTCTAAATTGGATTAACCTGCAGCCAATAGAGCTCTCCCCCTCTCCTCCCCCTCTTTCTTCCCCCAGTGTCCCTATCCGTTTCTCATCCAAACACGCAGCCTGACTTCTCCCCCGTTTTCTCAAAACCAAAAGGACCAGCAATGGGAAATGTAAATATTGGAATAAAAGTAATTTGCTGTTTAAATAATTTCTGAAATGATTTCCATAATTCAATAAAAGGGAATATCTACAAAAAAAAAAAAAAAAATCCTCACGCTTCAGATGAATTAAAGGAAATATTAGCATTTTTTTTTTTTTGGCTTTTAAGAATTCAGTCTCTCTTTCAGTCCCTGTTCTTTTGTGGAAACAAGATTTCCCAAAGTCTTTAAGGATGTTTCTGCTTTGCACATGTGGCAACAATCTGAACAGAATATTAATTAATTTTGGCTTTTCCATCTTTACAAATCACAGGTTTAAATGTAAATGGGCAATAATTCACATTTTGGACAAAGAAGACAGGTGTTTTAAGAGGGTTGTGAAGGAAACCATCTTTGTTAACCTCTTACACCCTCAGGGAGTATAAATAAATTTCTGCCTGACAAAAACACACAAAAGTAAATCACTTATAGCCTCACAGCTATTAGATTTAAGGAAAAACTTTTGGTACGTCTGTAAAGGTAGAATGTC